TTGAAGGAAATCACGAAATTACTCACATACGATCAACTTTTTGTCTGGTCTGATGGTCAAAAAGGCGATTCCTTTGTTCCCCTCAAGTTAATTTAAGCCTCCAATCTTCCCTCTCCCTCCGACTCATCCATCTGTCAACTTCAGTTGACCTTGCAGTGGCATAATTTTCATATATGACCTGCTTCAAGGTCACCAGGGCTCACTGTCCACCATTCCCATGCCCTAGAAACTTCTCGATGCCTTTTAAGGGACTGACATTTGACCAATGGCGCCTGAAGTGTGGCAGCAAAACGACAATGGAATAACACCTCCTTCAACACCAATGATCACGCACTCGTACACACACACCTGCGTAAAGGACGAAGGTGTGGAAGCAAGAGAAAATGATATTTTCATTCTACTCCGACAACAGGAGAAATTTGAAACCGTCCAGGTGAGGGTACAACACTCAGAAATAGACTACAAGAGAGCTTTGAGAAGTCATAAATGCGAATTCTGAGGCTGTCTTGCTATCTTATCGCACTTACTGTCAGCACTGCTTTGTCTCGAACAAATTTTAGTGTCTCCTACCCTTTTCTCCTCATCTCAAGTTAAATGTTTCTTGCGTCTGTGCTTTTTTTGCTTTCTCCTCCGCTCCACCCCCGTCCCCGCCTTCGTCTTGGACAAATGCACCAACTGCTCGTGGCATCTCGTCGAAATGTCAAAAAGGTGTTTTTTTTTGTTAGTCCATGCTTCCCCTTCGTCTTAGCCGTCTTTTTATTCTGTAATGTGCGTTGAAGAGACTTTTTTAACTTACTGTTGCAGTATGTTTATGCATTCCCTCCTCCCTCCTCTCTTTCGAGATTGTGCCTGGGACACTTTGACGTTGTCTCCGAAATTCCCAGTACTAATTGAAGAGCCCTTCCAGTCTCAGCAACGCGCTATCTTCCAATATGATCCAAGAAGGGCCTGATTGGTTGATTGTCACATTGAAGAATGGCTTCAAGCAGCAGCGCCACATGGGAAAAATGCAGCGCCTCTACCAAATTACGCAGCTCGACTCGAAGACCCTCGTAAGGAGTTTAGTCTAGTGTGACCAAAAGGGCTCGTTTATTAAAAGCGTTACACGCCATTGTAGAAGAGAGAGGCGTCATCGTCAAGGCAGACAAACAGGTTTTAGGATTGCTCCTAAGGCGTCACATTTTCTGTTTTACTTCCAAATACTTGTAACACTTCCATTTTTTGTAAAGAAGGCTATGATACAAATTCATTTTCGCGTTTCTGTCTTAATGCTTGACAGGTATTTAGACAATCCGAAATGTTGAATTCTGATTGGTTGGTCGCTTCCCGATTTCCGATTGGACACACAGTATGGATTAGCTCAAATATGGCTCAGGGGTTCTTTTCTTCCTCATTTTTCATCCCAGATGTCGGATAGCCACAATATAAAGGTTAACCAAAACTTCACAAAGCATGATTTCGCATCTGACATTATTTACAAGATGAAGATACTTAAGCTCTCGTCTATTATTTCTACGACGGCAGAAGTCCATCTATCGCGAAAAGGTGGTTTATTCCTTTGGCCAACCTTTTGAGGTGGCAGCACAGCAGAGCATACAGTGAAGGGAGGGCTGACAAATTATGAATTCTTATGGATTAATTTCCATACCAATGGAAGGCGGGGATTTTGGTGCATGGAAAAGTAGTTTGCTCTACTAAATCATCTGCCAGTAGGTGAAAGACGGCGCATCGTGCATTTTGGCAAGTGCTAACTAGCATCTTTGTTCCCATGGGGAAGATAGAATAGTTGGTAAATAACCGAGAAGCAAAAGCAAAGGTGTCAAGTGTTAGGAATTCTCACTCATCTCTATAGCAAACAAGGGAACTTATTTGCCTAAATATGTAAATGAATTCACAAGCCACTTTTGTTTAGTTTTAGAAAGGGATTGTTTAAACAAATAAGTATCTAATTTCAAAAATCAACTCATTTCTAGAACCAATCAGCATGAAATTGTTTCGAGAGGAGGAGCGTAATCATTAAACAATGCCTTCAAAACCGTCAGGGTCATTGGACACATAATTTAAACCTGAAGGAGGTTTTAAAAGTAGACGCATAAGCATTTTCACCTTTTTACTTTTGAGTGATACTACAGCTTCAACCCCACCTAACCAATCACATTCGAGTGTGCTGACCAATCGGGTTCATCCTGATTGAACTAGCACCAAAGTGGCAATCGAGGGCAAATTTGGAGGGAACACGTCGACCAAACTGTGACTTCACGTCCAAAGACAAAAAATGCAAACAGGTAAATGACTAAAGTGGTCAGGAAGTTTACTGTCCCTACTCACTGCACACAGGATGTGATCGTTGCGAGATCCTTCTGTTTGACAGCTAACAGGTCTGTCACCTCCGTTCCTCTTGCCTGCGTACCGACGACAAACATTTGCCACTTGTGGTCAAATTAGTCTGGGTTTTTGTGCTGCAGACAAGCCTTGTTGGACACAAGTCCCCAGAGTAATTACTTTCGCACTTCCGAATTGGCAATTTTTCTATTTCAATGGAATTACAAGACTTCTCACAAAGAAGGAGAAATTTTCTATCCCTTTCCCATTTTTGTCGCCTTTTTTGGTAAAAAATAGGGTTTTTTGTACAGGATATGGAGTATTCATCAAGTCAGCTGCATACGGTGGCAGGAGTGCAGTAAAAAAAGGGAGGTAGGAGAAGAACTGGTTTGCACGCAGCTACGAGGTCTTGTTTTATTGCGCTTCCAACTATCTCCAGCATTTGAATGCGTGGAGGAGAAGGAGGAGGAAGAGGCGGTGGCAGAGGAGGAAAAAGTGAGAATGGTGTAGATAAAAGTAGAAGAGGTGATGATGGTGATGATAGAGGGGATGGAAGGCCGCTGTTTAGATAGAAAGGCCACGTCGATGGAACAAAAGAACACCTCCAAGACAACTTAACAAATGTCATGAAGGTGAGACTCAGAGATGGTCAAGGTAAACGCGATTAGAATGAAAATTAAGCCTGAAAATTTATTTTTTTCCCGCTTTGCAAGTTGATTTATCCGTCTCAAAGTTGGGCCCGGACAACAACACCGACTAAAACAACTTCACTTCTGCGTCATCACGTTGAATAGCAAAAAAGCTTTTAGTCTTTGACACTCATTCCGTGCCTCTTTGAAATCAGTCCCTGATTTTGCGCCAATCCTTCTTCCTTCTCTGACTAGGAGATCTTGTCCAGAAATGCTTAGTAAGATGGAAGAGGAGGCGTCTTTTGAGCCAGAGGATGTGGAAGAGTGTGGTGGACAAGGCTGATATGCGTCCCCGAGCGTGGAAAGAACTTAGCTTTCATTTGATGCTTCCCACCTCGTCTTGGGATCGTCAAAGTTCCCCCTCAAGTAGCCTTACAAGTGAGGCGGAGTGAGACACAGCGACCTTTGTGTGAATCGCACGATTATCTCAACTGCAGCACAAGGTATCCAAACAATTGCTCAACTTTCCTCAATTATCGGAATCTGTGGAGCCGTGGAGCATCGAATAAGCCCCTGAAGCGTCTAATCACATCTCTGGTAGCATTTCTGATGCTCACATCGATGTTTCGTGACTTATTGTCATTGTGAGAATGAGTCAGAGTAGAGCCATCAAACATTACGAGTTAGTCATTGTGATCCACTCACCCACCTCTGCCAGGGGACCCGACAGAATCAGCCTGGACAAACGCAGCTTCGGCCTACTCATACACTCCTGATAATCGCTAGTGGCTTATCATTGAAATCGCCGTTTTTCTTCCTCCTCCTCCTTCGCTTTGTCACTTTCGGTGTGAATGGAGATAATCAGTGAGAGCAAATAAATGATTTGCAAATGCATTCAAACATCCTCCAAACTGTTAATCTATTGGATGCATCCAAGCTTTTGCTTGGCTTTTCATTTGATCGTCTAAAGATGTCCAATTTTTGCTATCACAATGTCAGAAAACTGTAATATAAAGTGAATTCGAGCCTGTAACTGAGCCTACTAACAGCAAGGTTGCACTCAACGCCTTGTAATGACACAACTGAGGTGATGAAAGCGCCCGCCCGACGGTGGCCATTACAAGCTCGGCCACCTTGATCGAAGGCTTTGAAGCTAGAAATTGATGTGCGAAAAAGAAGCAACATCGTCACTAAAACAGGATGGTGTACCTTTTGTGTTATGGCTTTTTGCGTGTCTAGAATGCACACCCATAAACGTCACCACTGGCTCTCGATTGATAACTAGATTAAGATTCTACTGAAAACAACTAAGTAGATGTAATTATTGAGCGCATGGCTAATGCCTAAAGGTCAAGCAGCAACCTTCCGCATTTCATCCCTCTTTCTAAACCAAGTACGAGGTAGCGGATCGCAGGAAGTAGAGCTCTGACAGAAAGGCCTGGAGAAGAAGTCGAACGCGACCAACCGACGCTTCCACCTGTTGACCTGCAAACCGAGATCCCGATATTCTCCGCAGCAGTCACGAATGCAGGACCAAATGAAGAATCGTCCAAGAGTAGTGAAACAAAAATTTCAAGATTGAAAGTTAAGGCAGAATGAACCAAAATATTAGCTCTACCTACGACCTGACCACGATACTAACACTTACCCTTACTCCCTTCTACAGTGAAGGCATGTGGCAGATGGACACAAGTGCAACCGGCTAAGGTAATGCGCGTGACTATGAAACAGCACCCAACACTGCAGTGCCGCGTAGAAGAGGAACTCGAGAACGCCACAGGACGGGTAGAGCAGACCGAAAGCACTAAACTGATTACATCACGACTGATCGCCAGTGACAGGCATGCCTACAAGTTTCCTTACAGAAAATGGTGACAACGTTTTGGAACAGGTGAAAACTCGCCAACTCACACCTTCAAGAAAGAATAGTGACAACAAAAGGTATTTTCAAATGATGCAAATAAGACAGCTTAAAATATCACATATGCGTTGGAATATCACAAAAGACAAAAAAGGAGGTGGAAGGAGGAATGACAAAGAATAAAATGACTAGACTTCCAAATCTCCATTAGAACCTGCAATAGCGACCTCAAGAGCCTGCTCTAGGGAGATATTCCTAGTCATCAACTCCTCACAAAGGCGTTTCAAGCCCTTCAGCTCCGTGGAATTCATCGCTGCAGCAGAGAAGGACATCTCCAGACTCCTCAACTTCGAGCGCAGCGTTGAAATCATGTCCGAGGCTAGCCGAATCGGAGTTGTAGTAATGGTAGAGGCTGAGGAGGGAGAGGCCACGGCTATCGAGGCATGATGCGATTCGGAAGCTAACAAGAGCAAAATGAAGCATTATCATGATGTGGAAGAGCTCAAATTATGAAAGAAATATATGTATGTATGTTATATGTTATATATATGTATGCCATGTTAAAATAGATGGCACGAAAGCAGACCGCTTGAAGCAATCATGTTCCACTACTTGGAACTGCGAATGAATAGAGTTATTTAAACAATAATGTAAATGTTACAAAGAAAAAGATAAAATAAGATGCATGAGTCTGAGTTATCTCTAAAGCTGATTCAAAAATCAGCCATGATTCAAAACGCTCCATCCTTCTCCCTCCTCCCATTCCCCCCCTCCCCACTACGCGATTTACGAGCCCCACAAGGGCTCATGAAATGTCATGTCATTCAACTGGACATTATGTGGATGAATGACGCCGAAGGTGCTGCAGCATAAGCAAATGAACAAATAATCGACTAGGAAAGGAGCAACACCCACTATTGGAATTGGCAAAATGCGAGCTGCTTGAACTGAACCTGTCGTTGAGTGCACGCTGAATGATCTCTGATTTAGCGTCCACTTCCGATTGAAGATGTTTCATCTTTTGCCGCAAATTGCAATTCTCCTCTTGCACTTCCGACAGACGACTTAGTAGACCCTAAAACAAAAATAATCGCACGATTTGTGAGGACGCAACCAATCACAGCCGAGACGTGATTGTGATTGGTCAAGAGGTAACCAATCGCCATGTTAAACAAATATTATTAAAAAAGATCTGCGATCATCAAGGTTGGCGATATGCGACTTGCTTATTAGCGTTCTCATAGTCTAAAAAAGGGATCGTGGCAATCAATCATTACGGAGCAAATCAACGCTAAGATTTGATAGTATTTTTTTTCCTGGCACGAAAATTAATAGCAAATCAGGGAGCGCCAATTGCAGTTAGTCCACCTTCTGATGGAACGAATTTGTCAAATTGATACCTCGACACTGGTCGCCAAGAATTCAGAGTTGTTTAGCACAGTCGACACCAAGATCTCCCTCCAAAGAAGTTTACCTACCAGACCTCAGAAGTTTCATTTACCTAAAAACGGCACCAGTCATTAGTCTTTTTGCGAAAACCAACTGATTTGAACTCACTGAAAAGCACAATCACTTTCAGACCATTCAAGATACACAGTTCAACAGAATAATCAGTAGTAGAATAAATCCGCATGTCACATATACGTGAAGGCACAAATCAGGCGGGAAAAGTGGAAGCTGCATTTGCATGGTGTTAGTAAGAAAGCGAAAAAAATTCGTTAATCTGATGACTATATTCCCTTCAACAGATGCTCTAGCATTGGAACATCAGAATCCTTTCGCCTAGAATGCGTTTTTCCACGACTCAGACGTGGATGTGGGAAACAGGTAAGCCAATTAGCGGAGGTCTTATGCAGGTCAACGAGAAAGATTGAACTCAAACATTTAAGCGACTCGCCGCAATGCACTAAACCTGAATTCCAGTAACCAGTGAACTAGAAAGATGGAATGGAAACCTCTTGCCTTTAAATCCGCCTCAGAGAATAACGCCTGTTGAACCTGCTGTACTTGTTGAGGTTGCGTCTGTGAGGTGGAGGAAGCTTCTGAGGCTTCTCCGTTATCGTTTCCCGTTGTCTGACTGCCTCCACAGAAGCTAAAGGACTCAACAGAAATTCCGTCCATGTTTTGGTCAGCTGGAGGCACGACAACAAGGCTCGATAAAGACGGTGCATTTCCCGATGCTGCACGTCTTGCTGTACGCACCGCAGAGGCAAGTTGTCGTTGCAACTCGCGCTGAACCCGCTCTCCTCGTCTCTCCGCCACATTCAATTCACTCCGCAGAGCCTCGCAATCCCCTTCTAATCGTTCCACGTCCAATTCCCGACGACTGACCTCTTTAAGCAATGCCTCAGAATTCTTCCGCTCTGATTCCAATACCTCCAACAAAGCCGCAAATTCGTTAGCCTTAGCAAACCATTCAGCCACTTCAGTAGAGGTTGCTTCCGTCTGTGTTACCGCCGAGGCCCAGCCTGTTTTAAATGTCTGACACGCGCTAGATGTTGTTGACAATGTAAGAGAGGAAGAGGATGTTTGAGCAGCTGCTTCAATAGTGTTGGGAAGGCTACAGGTCTTCGTCAACTGGGCGTTTTCTGCTTGAAGACGCTCACATTCAGCCCGCAAAGTCGACATCTGCAACTGGAAAGAGGATTCAACGTTGAGGAGACGCTGACGAAGGTTGTGGTTCTCCTTAACTACCGCCGCGATGCCTCCAGCATGCTGAATGGACGAAAGGCGGCTTTGAAGTTGAGCCAGCTCCCCTGATTGCTGAGCAAGTGTATTTTCTAATGCAACGACCTTTTTTTCGGCTCGAGAAAGATCTTCCTCGGTGGTATATTTCTGCTTGCGAAGCTCAATGAATTGAGATTGAAAACGAGCAAACTCTTCGGCTGAAATCGAGGTCTGCATGATGCTTAGAGCATGTCAAACTTTCCTAAAAGGGTACAACTCAAGAAATAGACATTGCAAAATCTGGCTTTAATCACAATAGGCAACAAAGTAAATTTAAACAAGCAACTTCTGAACCAGTATGGCTTGAGCTGTTAGGAAGTACATGTGGGGATGTCCGATATTTTCACACAGCTGCAGAGTGCAAAATGCCGGAACAAAATTAATCTAGGGTGTTATAGCATATGCCTTCGTTAACAAAGTACTAAATAAAAACACTGTATACTTATGAGCATTCCGTCTGAAAACAAAGGCGTGCTCGAGGGTCTGAAGTAACTAATGAAAACAGAATTATCGAAGCCGATATAAGGACCTTTGAGTACTTAAGAATACGATGAATCTCATCTAATTGTGAACGCAAAGTCCAACGCACTTAAATAGCATGCACATTTTGTTGAGGACAAACAAAGTAAACGACGATCCAACATTTAACACACAATGGGAAAGTAGCACAAAGCACAGGACCAATGACCTTGACAAGCCCGCCTACATAATATCAATAAAAATTAATGTGTAGTGTAAAAAAACCATGAAACAGTTAAAAAGTTTTGACAACAGTGTAAATTCCTTTTTCTGTATTAATAATGAGATGCGCTTTAAAGTATTTTGTTGTAAAAAATTTTCTTTTTATTTAGGGGTCATGGTCTTGATCACTTAACCAGATTTATTTTAAAATAAACTTTCTCCAATTTGGATAGTAGTACAACTAAAGTATTATGCGGTGTGTTCAAAGTGAGACGTCACTGTAGTGTCATGAGACCTCACAACGGGTGGATGAAGGCAGATATTGAGGCTGGACACATGCATTCCGTAGGGAATAGAGCAAATGGACCTGAGCATGGCCCGAAGGCCAGCTCACAAGTACAAGGGCCAGGCGGATCCTAAAGTGACCGCCAAACGTCAGGTAGTCCCATAACCAAAGCGTTACACTGCCTCTATCTTCTTTAGGGCGACGTCCTCGGCCATCACACTATACTCGGTGCTACAAGAAAATATCCACCAGCCAACCGCGCCAGTTGGTCTGACGACCAAATTCGGCATCGCATGCACCTGTTGACCATCATTTGCTTCCAGGAACAGACGACGTAACTCCCGTGTGCAAGGAGAACGGTATTTCCTTTTCCGACACCTAAACACGGATTCTGTATGGGAAATTCCAACATGATGCTTTTCCAGATGGTTCACGGCAGTGCCGCTTCAGATGAAGCCAAATGCAGATGTCAGTCTCGACCCTTTCGTTGTGAGGGATTCAGAGATTCTCCATCACCGATGTCAAAGCGTCTCTTCCACACCGTAGGTACATGTAACAAACGGTGCGTGCTAGGAGAGCGTTCTTTAAAAATGCTGGATTTATTTATTTTCAAAGTGGACAGAGCAAATAGGCCTAAGCATGGCCCGAAGGTCAGCCCACGAGCAAAGGGTCAGACAGATCCTAAAATGACCGCGAAACGTCAGATAGTCAGGGAAGGTAATACATTTTAAGCTCAGTCACATACAAATAAACTTTTTTTACTGCTTACATAACCCAGGCTCCAATCCCACTTTGTGGCACAGTGCTAAAACAATGGTGATGGCCTCTGTAACGCTTTGAAACCCTCACTAGTTATAAGAGGGCATTCATTTGGACTGCACACGTATTTAAGAAGAAGAAATTGGAGTTTGGTGTGGTCCGGAGGCTATCGTGTGCGTACAAGAGCAAGATGAATACCAAGTTAACTGCCAGTCATGGAGACGGAGTATTACAGCTCCACCCCCTGATACTTTATTGTTTCTAGCTCCTTCTACGAAGCTCACCTCAAAAAAGTTCTTGGCGTTACAGTATCTTTCATACATTTGGAAAGTATTGGGTTGTCAATTTGACTATCCATTATGTCCATGTGATGAGCCTTATTAACAGAAAAGATGACCTTCATAACGCAGATAAGGACCGGCAAGCCATCGTCTGATACCTAAACATGGCCGTGATTGCACACACCGACAATCGAATTATAAGTCTTCAGCTCTACTCAAGCTTTTGCGCAATTTCGCCATAGCCCTCTACGCTAGATCTCGCGTACCGCTACCCCCTTGATTGTGTTCAGCATAGACTCGAGGGCATTTATCTGCGGATAATACTTAAGTCCAATTTTAGAAACAAGTATTTCAAGAAATAAACGCAAGATAAATTCGCCTCCTATCAACTTTCCTTAAAAAGAAAACTTTATTTAAAGAAGAAAAACACATCGACGCGACAATAGAGGTAGGCAAGACCGAGCAAAGGAATACAAGGACAAGAAAGTAAGCAATTTAGAGCGTCCACAATGGTCGTCTTCATATATATTCCGGCATTAAAAAAAGTGGAAAGGACGAATTAAGACGAAACGAAACAAAATCAGTAAATGCGCTACATTCAGCCGTAAACGAGGAGACACAGAAAGCAAATGAAAGGGAGAGTGGGGAAGGGACAATCGACGCAGTACATGACGAAAGACGTCAGCAAAGGATAACGGTGGTGGCGATTGCAGGATTGAGGAAAACATTATTTGGAAAATTAATTACGAGGTGGTAGTCGTTGTCGCAGTCGCGGGTCCGGCTGTATCACCGCCTCCCTTCGATCCAGCGGCCGCTGACTCCTCAGTCTTCTTTTCCTGTTCAGGCTAAATAAATTTGGTACTAATTATATAACAGTAGCAATTATCTTATGTGCTAGAATACGAGGTTAGGATTAATCCCAATGCCGTGGATTGTCATTACTAAAACGGTTCTCTTACCTCTTTCGGCTTCAATTTTGGGCTGATGACAACTTTTCCGAAATTCTTGCGATCCTGAAGTTTGTGCAAAGCCTCTTTCACCTGCGAAAGGAAGCGGAAATAATGACAACTGAAGCACTTCCCTGCTAACAACCAACCGAGCCGTATGAAAAACGCCTCACTTCTTCAAAGCTCCATTCACTGTCAACTATAGGCTCAATTTTTCTTTCTGCTAGAAGCTGTTGCAATGCCCTCCAAGCTTCGAACACGACTGAGGAGTGGTGTTGACGGAAGAGCATCTGTTTCAAAGAGAGACCACCAAGTGACTTGTTCTCCTCCAGCAGCTTCAAGGGGTTAATGCGATCCATTTGAATCCACTGGTAAGAAAAGATGAGTTTATAACTGTGAGTGTTGATAGACGTGGTGATGGGGTACAAACGACCTTGAATTTACCGATTTAGCAAAATTGAAGAGATTCTTCCTTTCACCGGTGACAAAACTTGAGTTCCCTAAAGGTGAGAAGCTCAAGGTAAGCAAGTAAGAAACCCAACACAAGCTCCCATCACCAGAGTCTCACAACTCATAGAAACATGCCGTTTCACAATTCCGTATGGTCAGACTCACAAGAAAATCTAGGCGTCATATAGGCGTAACGCAGGTGGGAAATATGTTCGGCTGAAGAAATAAAACCCACAAACGCGTTGAAGGGCACCACCACCGGTTTACAGCAGTTAGAGGCGCACAAATGTTGCAATACCTACACCCCACTTCCTCCATTCCAAGCGTAAAAATGTCAACTTACCGTAGACAATGTAGCGACCCAGAGGTTGAAGTAGACTGAGCGATTTGTTGGTGTCTTCGCCCGAACGACTGTCCAACACTACAGTAACGCCATTGGGATGTTCTCTAAAGAAAAATGTACAAAAATCGTATAAACGGAATCTATTTGTTTTTTTAGTTAGGGAACCAGTTTAAGTCGGACATCAATAAGTCCGCCTCCTAAAGAGCAAGAGCCTTGTGCCTCATGGGAGTGAACACGGCAAGACAGATGCATACGTGCACAGACGCAACTTCAGGCTATGATAGAAAGGCATTCGTTACACAATGAAGCACTCAATTTGACAACTCTTGCTTTAAGCTTGCTGTGTTAGGCAGAGCCTAACAAACGTACTTTTTAACTTCCGCCACGTAATCCTGTGTGCTACTGATAAGTTGTGAGTAGTACTGTTGCAGATTTTCGTGCTTGGCAGTTGATGCAGTTCCAATCAACTTCACGTTGGGAATCAGCTTGGCCAACTGTCCAATCGCCGTTCCCTGAAGTAACCAAAACAGGTGTCGAGGCCAACCAAAAGTCACGCACATGTGAAGCAACAAGAGGAAACCTCGACTGATTTAGGATGTTGAATTCCTTCTCTCTCTCTTTCTCCGCCCTCTCCCCCGCCTCTTCCAACTTAACCAACTATCTCAGTGATTCAACCGCAAGGCTGGTTATAAGATGCTCACACCTTTCTACAGGGTGAAATTTAACTCAGAGTGATTTGTCCAAACGTTTTTTTAAAAAGGGCATTTGAAACAGCCTATAACCGACTGCGCTCACACATAGTACAATGAAAATGGACTTCCTTCACTGCCAAGTGCGCACTTGATGACTGCCGCTGCAACGCAGTTGTGCATGCAGTGAAAATGAGCTGGTCGCCTAGCAGCGCTGCCAAGAGCAATTTATAACATTTGTTTGGGTGGAATGAGCAGAGAAATGGGAAATGACGTTTCTCACTCTCCTGTACTCAACAAGATTGGAACGTCATCGATCATGTGGAGCTGTCTCAGCCACTCAGCCAGCGACTAGACAGTTGAAAGGCATTCGCCTTCTAGGACCCTTGGGTCCAAACGCGAGACCCAGACCTGTCTGCCTCGCGGCTGGAGGGGTGGTAGGAAATGCCTTAACACCTTCCCCCTCCCTCAGAAAAACAAAAATCTCGTTAAATTACATCTTATACGCATGAAACTAGCCTTTAGGTCTTGCCGATGTCGAAACTACTATTTGTAAGGATGCAATTTAGATGCACTAATATGTGGTTTGAGGTCAAGGCCAACGGAGATAGCTGAGATAAGTTAAAAGATTGAAGTATCCGCCTCGTCAGTGGTGCGCGGGCCAATTTCAGAGGTCTCAACAACGGCACAATTCTCAGAGGAGAGAAATCCGAGGATGAGGAAAGTCCAAACGAAGCATTGAAAGAGGCCTCGAGAGCTGTCATTTTTTCACTAACTGTCAGACGTGCGAAAAGGGGTGTCTCTCAAAGCCCTCAAAAATGGAGGAAAGCAGGAAACTGAACCTGCATTTCTCCACTTTGCTGCTTCAAGCCTCGGTAGTGTGGCCCGTCATTTGGAACAGACCGACTTGAGAGGTGGCTTTGTATTGCCGTGGCGGTGGTGAAGAAATGACGCATCAGCACCCCCCTCCCCCCCAAACCCTCGCCTTGCATTGACAACTTCGGTGACAGTAAAGAATATGCCACTGTGCGCACATTGAAGGTATTCAAAACGGTCACGCAATTCCTCCACACGCCAACAACCAACGCCTAAGGCAGTCGTCATGTCGGAGGAATGGAGGTGTTTATTTGACTTCGTGTGACTCATCAGTGGAATTAATGTCCAAAATTTTTCACACGATGCGCCCGCCTATCATCACTCCACTTCCCAATCCACCTTCCCCCACTCTTGACAAGCCAACAGGCTAGAATGGAGCCAAATTTAACCCCAACTAACTGTAATTACAAACAAATGCGTAAGCAGTCGTGCTTCACATTGCCTCTGGAAGGCAGAACAACATGTGCATGTGCAACACCTTCCACCAATAACACAGTAAACACTTCTGAACACACCGGCAAATGTGTTAGTGGTAAGAAGTTGGGTCAGTCAACATTGTTATGCAATCCTTGACAAGCAAGACACTTGGCAAAACCTTCTCCCGTCTCCTTCAAGTCAAAAATGAAATTCCCCTCTAAGAGGCGCGGAAACGAAGTGAGAACTCACAACACCACCGCCAGCCGAGTGGACTAAAACAATGTCGCCGGACCGAACACAGGCGACAGTGTGCAGCAGCAGGTAGGCGGGAAGGTAGGACATGAGGAATACGGCGGCCTGATTGGCGGAGAGTGAAGTGGGTTTGTGCAACACCAAAGCCAACGGTGCTGTATTAGTAGCAGCCTCTGCTTGTTCGCCTCCGGCTTCATTTGGCTCCTCTGGAATGGCTCTAACCACCAAGTGCTCCGTCCACGTTCCATTGTCGCACAGCACCACCACCTCGTCACCAACCTGGGAGTAAAAATGGGTGCTATGGTTTGGCAAACAAAGCAACACCACTTCTTGCATCACACGTGGAGTGTCCTCTCCATTGCCAATGCCATAAAAGTGGGCAACACGCGTTTTTCTGGCAGTTTATGGTAAGTGAATGCATTAAATCGCGTGTGTCACGGATAGAGTGGTTCTGCTCTGCCTCCCTCCCTCCCCCCTTCCCCTTCTTCCCAGTGCAAGCGATACACGAAGTTCGAAGTTATTTACGACATTGGACTTGGAAGGCCATAGCAGAGAGGCTACCACAGCTGCCACCACGGCCACACGTACACACTGCCAGGAGCGACCGTACACCCCTAAGTGAGATAGTAGGCAGCGATAAGCGGAGGCATAAAATCCCAACCCGTAGATATCGGCCTCCAAGCACGATTGGGTGTAGGACTGCTCCGGCCAGTAGTGGTGATTCATGGAAGAGGAGTCAATCATACGGCCTGGACGCACACTCTGTGGTGGATCGAGGACGTGGAGACGAGAAACGCCCCTCACAGTCTTATAGGGGTGGTCTAAGAAGTGATCCCTCTGCATCCACAAACCCTCCTCTCGCGTAGGTGGGCTGCATGGAGTAAAATAGCCTCCTCATAGTTCCATCTCCCCTCCTCCCTCCCCTCCATGAAGGAGGGCGGTGAAGTGTCACATCGAAGTCCACACATTCCTTACATAGATCAAATGAACTGTCATTTTATGTTTATTAGCACAATAAAGATGAAAATCGGGAAAAGGGAAAATTTGTAACGAAAATGACCCCAAGTCTTTTGAACAGCAGATTTCTGCTTTCTTTCCCCACACATCTAAGTCGGCCTCAAGAGGAACATGTAGCGATCACAACCGCCTTCAATGTACCAACTTTAAAGATGTGGCGATGTGTCTAAAGCAACGCTCGTACCATATTTCATGGGCAGTATCAAGTTAAAGCATTCATAGCACTCTTGAGTGCACCTGCTGTGCACACAATTTAGCAAATTTGGCATTCCAGACCCGCGAAGCTGGCAAGCCGCACTCTTTGGAAAGTGATGCTAATGGCCATAACGCGTTGGCTAAGACATGACGAACCAGAGTTACTCGTAAACAGGGCCACAGAAGGTAAGAGACAAGTGGAGGAGGGGCCAAATCTGTGAGAATTGACAAAGTGACCCCAAAGGGGCCGCTGCCCCAATCTCAGCAGGGAGTGCAGCCAAACCGAGAATACCAATGATACACGCATTGGTCAGGAACTAAGTCTACTTCCGATTGCAAAATTTAAAAAAAAAATGAGATGCTGGGGTCACGATCCCCTCCATCACAGTTCTGGAATGCCATAGAATTAAGGTAATCTGAAGTCTACTGATATTGCATTTGAGTAGCACGATGAACTTACCTTGAATTTCGTAACACCTTCCCCAACCTCAGAAACTTTTCCACAGCACTCGCTGCCCATAACGAAGGGCGGCTTGCCGAGAAAGTCAAGCAGGCCCTGACGCATCATCAAGTCCTGAAATCCAACACCGCTGAAAGGCAAAAAAAAGTGATCTGAAAGGCCCTTCAGAGGGAATAAGGCATGACAGGCGGTGTCTACGTTTATCTTGTTGCCACTCCTCTCCGCTGAACCAGCTATTTGACACAAATCTTCGCTCCTACAGGAAGTCGATTACAAAACTTGTAGGTGAGGCAAGGCAGAGTGGCGGTATTACGAATCACACGTGGGCGCCAGTATCCCAAGGGGCGAGAATTTATGTCGACATTGCCGAGCGTCCACTGCTGACTTTGTACATGCTGTGTCACATTCATAGGTCTGGAGGGTGTTCGAGGCCAGTACCTGTCCATGCAATAGCCAAAAGCGATCAGTCGATGGGGTGAGTGTCTCGTTCACACGTGATAACCTCTGACCTTATAATTCGCACCTCGAAGGTGGGATGGAAGAGGACCGACA